TTTATTTGTAATAATAGAAGGTATAAAAATAAAATTACAATATCTCCTCTGTAACTTGATAGTCTAAATTTCATTTTACGATATTCATGAGTTTTATTGAAAGTAATACGTTAATTTCGTGTGTGTAGCGTAGACACAAATTACTTGCACGTGTCTGACATTAGTGTATTATACTACAACACATAATACTAGAATTGTGTGAAATAGGTGGTGTGTTAAAATTTATTGTAAATAAAATCAACAATCTAAAATATGCTAATAAATTAACCGAAACACGCTCACCATTAGTATACATTAGCATATGTCTTCAGTACGTTAGAAACTAACTTAAAAATACAAATTCGAACGAGCTAATAAACCGGCATGAAAGTGTTCTAGTTTTTTTTTTCTTTTTTTAAGAAGCATTCATTTAGCATTGTACAGAACTATCAAACTTTATAAATCACACGTTCGTTGTGGAACGAGCCTAAAATACACTGTGGGGTCAAAGCACTGCAGTCTAAATAAGTGAGGATTGTTTTTGTTTAGAACCATTATCATGTCTGTAATAATACACTCGAAGAAAGTACAAGCGCATCGTGAGGTTAAACGAAAAACAATGGGTGCACCCGTGTGATCATGAGTGTCTCGATGTTTTTTTTTTTTTTTTCAAATCATCTTCTTTTTGATACGAACATCTCATCGGTGGCGTTGGGAACCTAAGTCGCGCGTGAACACGAAATAGCTGTTGGTATCCACAGATAAATGCACACTCTACAATAACATTACAAAATGTGTGTCTGCCCAGTGTACTTGTACGTGTGTGGCGATGATGGATCAGTGACTGACCTGTGATTAATACAATGAAATGGCGACGGCATTCATTATGGGCGACTGGCGTTCAATTGCCACGAACATCACGCGTTTATACAAATCCCTCCTAATGTCTGAGCTACTATACAAAATATTAAACTCGGATAATAAAAATTAATGTTGCTGTAGACTTGAGCCTTTTATACCCTGTATTTGCATTATCAGATTATTACTATAAGGGAAAATTATGTTCAGTTTGAAAAGCCATTGTTTTATAATGTACACACGGAACACATAATGTGTTTTCAATAATATTGTTGTTCATAATATATAATGTACGAAAGTATAGTTTAGAAGTTTATTTTGAAAAAATGGTAAATTATGTGTGTATAGTTTTCAGAATGTGTAAATGTGACCTCGTTTTCGATTTAAAAAATAATAGAGACTCTAAACATTAAAAAACATTTTTTTAACGTAAATAAAAACAGCAAGCTTATTTGATTAAAAATTTTATATTTGTTTTTAATACTGATGTCGAGATTGGTATTTAAAAAAGTATTGTACTGAAATTAAAAACAAAATTGTATGACCCAACAAACATTATTTCCATCTACCCACATTTCTTATAACTAATTATGATTCGATATTGTAAAACTAGATAGCGGCAGTTGATTACTGACAAGATATTTCCTTCATTTAACTCAAAGAAGTTAAATATTGGTTTTTAATGGATTTCGTCCATATGTTTACAAATTTACAAACAAAACCTGAGTACATGAAGTTATACTTGAAGTTTTTAAGTAATATTATTATAAAGTCGAAATAAATGAGTTTAATAATATATATTTTTTTAATTAAATAAACTACTAATATAAACCCATTTTGGTATAACTAATATAAAAATTCTATATTCTATGTTAACTCTTTACTTAAATGTATTTTTTTAGATTTTGATTTCATAACAATCTCATCCATGGTTTCAAAATTAAATTCGAGTGTTCAAGTCACCAGTGCGCTATGATTTGTGGAGCCCTGGGAAAATTATATGGATAGGCCCACATACATAAATAACTAACGACTAAATGACTTTATTATTACTTGTATTTTTTTGTGTGGCCTCAAATCACAAAAAATGAAGGGACCTTAGTCATACGCACTATTTGCTCAGCTTTAAATTATTTTCTTAGAACTAAAACTTAGAAAATTTAACGGTAGATTTATATTTATATACTTTTTTTTTACTTTGGTTTTATTAAGTTTAACGTTATATTAACGTATTGGTAAATAAACGAAGTTATAATTAAATTTAGAATCAAAGTATTTCCGACAATGGCTACCAAAAAAATGATTAAAATTACAACTTATGTCATACTATTGAAAAACATGTTTTTTCTAAAGAAGGACATTCACTAGTAATACATTTAAATTATTACAAAAATTATTTTATCCCTAAATAATACTTCATAATAATCTCTAGTCAAAATTTGCTTAGAAATTATAAAAATATATTATTAGTATATTTTTTAATGTGTTATACAGTGGCTCGATCTTTCTAAAATTTTTATAAGTAGTGACATATATAGAAAATATGTCTACCAATAGATGGCATAAATAGTTGCGTATTTCTTTTATATTACATTTTTTTTTTTAATTTTTATTCGTTAAATAACTCATAAAGTATTACAACATTTCTAAATTATAAATTACCATTATTAATTACAATGAAAATAATATTGCAATAAAAACAAATAAAATTATAAGTTAACATATCAAATATAATCAATTATTCAATTCAATTTTAACAACAATAAAGTACAATTGAAATACTAGTTTACAATCATTAATATAACGAAATTATTAATACCATTTGTAAATAAATGTACATTTATTACTTATCGTACTAACCTTACAAATACTAATAATTCATCAGTTATGAAACATTTCCGTACACTTTTCATTTTTTCTTTAATCATATATTTTAAGAGTTGGTCTTCCCAGTGGTTTTATAAAAGAGTTATATAAAATAATAGAACCATTATTCCGAATAGGAATGAAGCACCAAAAAAGAAACAATGTTTTCAACAGAAAATATAATGGAATCAGGGGGATCAATTTATTAAATGACGATTCAATTATCAAAAGAGCAGAAAAAACTAACCAATAACTCATCCATTTTGTATAAACGTTTGAATTTTCAATATTACTATTTTCTGATGATTCCAACAACATGTATGTCTTGTAAGACGGGAATCCAAACCCAATGGCATTACTCATCGTGGCCAACCCATTACCAATAACCATGTATAAGGCAACTAAGATTATTCCAAAAATTAATATTTTAAATCTAGGAATACCAGTACGAGTTTCAGCCCAGCTGAAGATACGTTCCCATGGTCTGGATTGATCATACAGCGCATTGCTCAAAGCTTCTTTAATCAATTCTATTTTAGTAGAATCCATTTTTATATTCTTACAATTTCTGTATATTTTTTAGGATTTAAAATAAATGTTCATTTTTTAATCGTCGCCATGGTAGGAAATTACAACAGAATATAAAAAAAAAATTATTTCCATAAAACCAGAATCAAAGTATTGAATCAGTATTTTTTTATACTTAAGTAAATTAACAAAATATTTAAATTATTTATATTTTTTTATAGATATTATTGTTTGATTTTGGATATTTTGATTCAGATAGTATAGTTACGAATTTGAAAATTTTCTAATAAATAAGCACTTTCCTACAATATTTTCAAACATTCAATGTTTGAAAATATTTAATGTTCTTTAAAATATATGACCAATACGGCTAAATAACTTGTTTATTGGGATCATAAATATACCTCAAACGCCTTTTATTTTTCTCTGAGATCTGAATATGGATATCAATATCTTTTATATAAAAAGATTTGATATACAAAATATAGTTATTTTTAAATTAATATTTAATATTGATTTTTATTTTATAATTTACAAAAAAACATACAAGATGCATAATACTATGTTGTTCTTTACTTATAAGACATCTTTACTGATGTTCTTTATTAATATAACATACTTCTTAAGATATAAGTTTTAAATTATTTTAAAACTATTCTAGGCACGTATAATACGTTGTACTTAAAAATTATGTATTTTCTTCAAATTAGAATTTTTTAATTGACTTAATGTTAAAATAACTTCAGAAAAAATGTTATAAGTGCTGTAATTATTATGACTGTCGATCAAAAAATTGAAACTTTTAGATGACTTATTTTTCATATTAGTCTTAAAAATATTCAAACATAGAAAAAACAATAGAAGCGATAATAAAAGTACAAAAAAAATCATTAACTTGAATATAATTAAAATTAAGCTTTTATTATAGGCTTTTTATTTAAGTTTCTTTCCAAAGTATTCTACTTATCGTGTATTTTGTTCATCAATATAATATTATTTTGAATATTTAATACTTTGTATTTTATAATAGTGTACAACTATTAAGTAATTTCTAGCTAACTATCATAATTTTATGAAAGCAATTTCGGAAAAACTGATCTCATTTAAAAAATACGTAGAGTTAAATTACGTTAACAAACATAAATTTCCTACCGAGTTGCTGTCAAGGATGGCAAATTTATGGAGTTAAAAAAGCAATGTTTTTTTTAACCAAATTACAGACTTTCGTTTCCAAATGAACAGGTGGGGGGTGAGTATAAAAGTGGATGAGGGTGCCTTTAGATTATTCTCTCCCTGACTCGCAAAATGGCTGTACGCAATCTATCTATCTGCTTGCAGAGCAAGCGAATACCTGTCTACCGGTTTTTTCTGTATTTTACACTACACGCAAGTTCTTTTTTGCACTTGGTCCCCTGATGGTTTTTCATGAGTGACTAATTTATTCTCAACTTCCATGGTTAAAAAGAAGTTCATTTGTTCATTCTTCCAGCTCTTACCCGGACCCTTCACCGATTATACTTACTAACCTCACACAATTTAAAAGATAAGTCCCTTAGGTTACATTAATTGTTCAAATGCTATTTTATTTTATTAGTTTTTTTCACTAACCACATAATTCTTTATATCCTATTTTACAAGTACCATAAATAACATTTTGTTGTTAATTTGTTCTTTTGTTTTTTAATTAATAATTTCATCTCTAAAAATATAACTTTTTAAACGTTTTTATTATTAATTTAGATATCTAATACCAACGTATGGGTCTTTACAAAGCAAATTCACAATGGAAATTAATTTTCTTAAGATTTAGTTTATAATTAAAAATGGTTAATATATTATCTAACTTTATAATATACCGAGAAAAATTATATTTGAGTATTATAAACTAAAAAAATGAAAATACTTAGAAAACATTATTCTCTACTAATTTAAGTAATGATTACGTTCGATCGGTTTTAATATAACAGATCGGATTAAATCTGGCGTAATAACAATTCCTGGAATATTTCTATTATTCCATTTTCTTTTTGGGCACGGTAATGGACATTCCAAATCTTTAGTATTATAATGATGAGCCGATGTCAATGGTGAAGGAAGTGACGGAGGAGGGTTTGGTGGTGGTGGCAGAGGTGGTGGTGGTGGTGGCGGTGGTGGTGGTATGTTATTAGTTCTGTTTTCTACAAAATCTGTAAAATAAAATAAATTAAATTAACTATATTCTAAGTGAATGAAGACTTTAATAATTTAGGTGTAGATATATGACATATATCCAAAAATTGAATAGTCATAAAAATTGATTTTTGACATATGTATATTTGGTATAATGAAAGGGTTTTCCTGATATGTGAAATAAACAACTAAGAGTCAACTTTATCAAAAAATTTTATTCATTAAAATTAAAAAATATTGAGTTATATTAGAAGAAATTTTGAATGTTTTTGATTTCTTATAAAATTGCTAAATTTAATAATTTAGCTTTCCAAAAATAATTACAGAATCGTATAAAATTCATTAAAAACTAAAAAATTATAATTTCAATTAGCCAAACTATATATATTTTTTCGTAAAAAATTATTTTTAGAATGTATTTGAAAAAGTCAGTGGATTATGATGATAACTAACATTTTTTTTTTAAATATTTTTATTTCGTAAATAAAATTATTAGAGTAATATACTAAGATGCAAAATATTAAAGGAATATATTATGTAGTACTTGAGATAATAAATTGATAAGAGTGAAATTATCAAAATTTGTGGTTTGTATAAATGGAATAAAAATGTAACAATTATTTTATAAAACGTTTCCTGGGAGTATATTAAATAGCATTTTTAGAAAAAATATTCAAATAAAAAAAGATATATTTAATTTGTACCATAAAAAAAAAAATTAGAGTAATAAAGATTTGAAATTAAAAATAAAATTTGCTACTTTACACAAATTAAAAATAATTTTTGACCAGGCAACCATTATCATCAAAAAGACCAATATTTTTTTCTTAATTAGAATAAACTGGGATAAGAATCTATACTGAATAAAAGTCTAATATTAGAATAATTAAATTAATTTTATATATTATATTTTTTTAGATGTTACAAAATCATAAAGGTTTTGATAATTAAAATTGATAGTATCAATTATAACTGAATTTCATTAATATCAAAAAATATTTTTATAAATATTGTAATTAATATTATATTATGTTATTATATTATTAATTAATAATTATAATATATGTTTATGCTCAGTTTTAAATTTTTGAATAATATCAAACAGTAACAAATATTTTTATTAGTTTTATAAGCGGAGTATCTTTTTCATTAATTTTTTAGGTAAGAAAATAATTTTTAAAAATTTTAACAGTGTCAAACAAAAATCAATTTTTTTAAATTTAAAATATTAGCCTCAAGAAAAGTTAACTCGTAATTTTTGTCAAAAACAGAAAAAAATTTTCTACACTAATTATAAATAAAGTTTTAGTATCTTATTTCAGTGAATTAATGACATCATTACAAACCTAATATTTTAGCCAAACAAACATTTTGAGCGCTTACTTCCATTTGAATCAAATTCAATTTTTCATTTAATAAAATAACATTACTATTCTTTTCGAAATGTTCACAATAACATTCATTATGGTCTTTCATTGAATTTCTAATAGGTTCCCAAATAATGTAATATATAACCTTATAAATATATTTAAATATTAAAAAAACCGATAATATTATTGATTAAAATGATCTAAGTTATATTTCTTTATGTATTATTTTTTTATAATGCTTATTTCAATCATAACATAATGAAAAAATATTATTGAACTGAATTAAACTTCCTTATTTTGTACATCAATAAAAAATGAAAAATTATAGTAGTAAAATATTTCTTAATATTTTTCATTCTAGGAAAAAATAAATTTTGTAGTTTAGCGATTATGGTTTTAAGTAAAATTTTCACTTACACTTAACACATCAACAAGCAAAGGTTGGATAACATTTTCGAAGTCCATATTTAATAGCATAAATCAAACATCTATTGATGTAAATAGAATTCATTAATTAATTCTATTATAATATAAAATTTTGCCATTAATATGTATATTCCTTTTATAAAAATAAATTGTGTATGCGTAGAAGAATTATAAATGAAAAATACACATGAATTAATCGGAAATATTATCATTTTGAATTACAACAACTTAATGATATAAGATCTACCGATATTTTTTGTAGAATTTATTCGTCATTATGTAAGCACTTTTTTACGATAATTGCCAAAATTTGAAATGAAACTTCTCGGTACTGATTTTGAATTACTTAGCATACGTTTAATATTTTTTTGATTAAATTATGTATAAAAATTATTCAAGTAATTATAAATTTAGTAAAATTTCAAAAACCTTTGTTTATAATATTCTAGATCAAATATATATTTTACTATGACTACATATTTAGTTAATACAGTTATTCAGCCATTCTAATTGTAATATAGTTAACTAAAATTATACTTTTGAATATAAGTAAAATAAAATAAGAAACAAGAAAATGACTGATTTAAAGTATTTTATAAAATAAATATTCAATACATTCAATTATGCTTGTTGTGACTATGATTTATTTTGTTGTTATTGAGAAACTACATGTTAGTTTAAATTTCAGCTGTAGTAGAGAATAGGAAATAGGAAAAATTCTCTGCTCAGATCAAATTTCTATGCCTTGTAGTAACACGACTAATATTCGTAAAACACAATCAAATAATTATAACTACTATATTATTTCTAAGGATGCAGTTTTCATTATTAATGGTTGTACCATTTATGTACTCGTTTTGAAACTTACCAATTAAATAAAAATAACTTTTAATTTGCATTAAAGAAAATATAATCAATTTTCACAATAAAAAAAAATATTATTATTTCAATTGTGAGTACTATTTCAGTACTGTTCACTAAACATAAGCAAAGGTTTTATTCTACTTGATATGTTTTCATCTTTTTGAGTATCGTTGACGTGTCTAATATTATTATCATTATTAACAATTGTATCTGACCACAATTGACCAAGAGAATCGACTATACTTGACGCGATATTATTAGTATTTGTAACAAAGCACCAGATTAAAAACAATATTTTGACGAAATAATAAAATTGCAAATAACGTAGTAACCAGTAGAAAATACACTCAAAAACTAAAACTGATGCAAACACAAACCAATAAGACAACCATTTTATTTGAGCATCATGATGATTCTTTTCGCTGGTTCTCATTTCTAATATTTGTAGTAATTTTATTGTTTTGTATGCTGGATAAATAAATCCAACAAGATTACTCAATATTACTAAGCCGTCGAATACATAAAACAAGGAAATTATAATTCCAACCACTGTTACATTTATTTGAGTAATTCCCGTATAACTGATGGTCCATGCAATAAATCTGTTCAAAATTTCAATTATTTTGATCGTTTCATCTATTACTTGATTTTTCATCTCATGAACTCTGTATTTCACCTAAAATAAAATATAGTGTTAGAAAACATTGTTTAGTTAATTTAAGTGTAAATATTGTATACTATAACACTTATGAATGATTATTCATTAAAGATTATTATGTAGGAAGTCGTTAAAAACGTTTAATATTACAAAAATAAAAAATTATAATTTTGATCATCTTGATTCAAATATTAAAATTATGATTTTTAGAAGTTATCACAAAATTGAAATTGAATAAGTGTGTAATCTTACCACGAAAATTCAATTTCTCGAAAGATTTTAAGATATAAAATTTGTTTTGAAAAAATACAACTGCAACCATGAATAAATAACATAATTTTCATAGCCAGTATATACTTGTTAGGCTTTTCAAAATTCTATTACTTATATTTTATCATAAAAAAATATCCATTTTTTCAATCCCTTTTACCTATATCTAAATATTATATTAATTTCATAAAGTTGTATTAATACAAAACCATTTATCGACCAATCAAAATTTTATTTATACCATCATTCATTTAATAGTAAAAAAAAAACATTCGGTTCCTTTTAAATTTCGAATATTAAAAAAAAATCATCATTAAAAAAAAAGGGCGTTAGTAGTCTTAATAAATCACACTGTATATACATAAAAAATATTTTAAACAAGTATTAACAATTTTTAGCATTATCTGTATGACTTATATTCTTCCTTCATCTCTTGATATTAAAATTTTGTTTTATTGTTTGTATTGGTTAACGTAATGTCCTCCTTATTATGCGCTATCTGAATAAAAAAGAATTTATCAAATTTAATGTATGCATCTATTGTATCAAACAGTTTTGCAGCGAGTGCTAGTTCCTGTTGAGACTTACTTTAAATCCCAGTACATCTTTTAAGTAATTCTATTTCCATAGTGCAACAAGACTTATTTCTTCTTTTTATTCACTTTTTTTATATTTTTCCTTATACAGCTTGGTTTTTTATCATGGTCTTATGGAAAATATAATACTTTCATTGGTTATACACTTTTTCTAAAATAAAGTTATTTAATATATTGTCTTGGTTTAAATTTGGTCTACACTACAGTTTAAAATTTTATAAGGTTAGGAAAAATTAATTTGAAATTTAAATTAACACATACATTATTTAAAAATACATGTATTTTGAACTTAGCACATACTATCAATTGCTAATGAAATAAAATTTATATGTTTTTAAATCATAAAGGTTTTTGACTGAAAGTTTTTATCATTTATTGTTTTAGTAGCTTTAACTAATAGAAATTAAGTTTCCGGATAGTTTTTTGTAAAGTATATTGCGTAAGAAATAATATATTTTAAACCAAATGTAGTTATTTGGTACATTTTTAATTATTAAGGAAATTATCGAATAATTTTTCAAACTCTATTCATTTGTAACTTCAAATAAATACAACTTGTAATTTTATGATGCATTATTGAAAAAATAAGTCCTGAAAGAAGCGGATTTGTAGCGTATACAGACACACACACAAAAAAAAAACAACAGGCAAAGTAAAACCAAAATCTTTTCAGCTACGCATCGAAAACGAACAATATTACAACTATTTATTGAGCTAATCAATATTTTTCGTTATACATATTTAAAAAAAATTAAACATAAATTAGGTAATTGTTTATATAAAAATACATAAATCCAACTATCAAATTATCTTATACGAAAACATTTAGAGAAAAATATATATTTTTCTTTGTTACAGCATGGGACAGAATGTCATAAACACAAAGTGATAAATTTGTCGTTGACCACTAGATTTCTTCTAAAATAATAATAATTTAAAGAATGTAGTTTTTGCTTGTATAAATAGTATTTTTATTTTAAGTATTTCTCAATTTTTAAGTAGTTTAATATTTCTAAGAATTATCTCATATGAGGGTGTTATGTCACCACCACTTTATTAAATATTTATCTTTGTGAATATACATGTTTATAATTGATAGGGACATCCGCATGCGGATGTTCCCTTGATTTCTTTGTATGACTATTTTGCAGCAATAGTCAGTCTAGTGTCCAACATTGTCGAATAAGCACTAATTGTAAACCATTTACTAATACTTGCCGTGTTATATTGAAATTATATTTATATATATATATATATTTATTATATTATATATATATATATATTTATTATATTATATATATATATATATTTATACATTTATACATTTATATCTTAAAATACATTATAATATTTACAACCAGTATTTCTATCGAAAGTGTTAAATTTCTTTCTTTATAAATAATCACTATTTCCTATATACATCTTGGAGGACTCTGTGCGGATAGCTCAATAGGGAATCCAGACGGTAACCCGAACAACAAATAAATATTAAAATTTCCTCAAGCGAGCCTTACAGGTCCGCCACAAGGGTACCCAAATTTACAAGTTAAATGACAACATATACAGTGTGTTCAGTAAATAAGGAAACGAATTTCTATTGTACTCATTGTTTGTAACAATTTAACTGTTTCCTAACTTACTGAACACTCTTTATACTTAACTAGTTCACATAATAGAAAATGATCCAACTTAGTAAATGAGTGTTCGATAACTTTTCAAACAGTTGTATAATATTTATTGTATACCTAGGTGGAAGAAATGATGTGTCAAAGTAATGCGTCATGAAAATATAAAATAACTTGCACTTCATTTCTAGTCTATATTTAAAAATGTTAAGAACTCTCAAAATAGTGGTTCAAAACTTATCACTTAGTTGGATTATATTATCTAGTAAAATATGTGTTGTAATTCAACATAATAAAATTGGAATTTAATAGATAATGGATAGACTTAAAAGATATTTAGCCATTCAAAAATCGGGAAATACATACTTATTAACAAAATTAAAAAAATATATATTTAAAACTATTATAAATTGCAAGATAATAGAGAAGGAGAAAAAGATTATAAATTGAGTAGAAATTTATTGGTTAACGATAAACTATATTTTATCGATGAAAAACTGACCATAATACTGTGTTCTACATAGAACAAATCCATTAGAATTGGTATTACCAATGTACTTTAATATTATAAGCAAAAGAGAGTTATTTATGTTCTAGGAATTACTTTGGTACATACCTTTATTTAACATGAAAGTATTTGCTATGCTTATAGTAACTATTAGCATAGCACTATTAACAAAAATAACTGTTATTGTTGTTTATGATATTCCATGTCATTTTATTAGCTTCTATCAAGCATTATAACTTACTATTCAATGACGTTAAAAAGCGACAAACTAGTTATTCTTCAATTTGTATAATCTATTTTTTCTAAAATGCAAAATATGTTGGTATTTTTAAAATCATAACTTGTTGTTATATGTAATGCAAAACGGGAAACACTTCGCAGTTTTAAACGGTTATTGGCTTGAGTATTATAGAATATGACCGACTGGGGACATATTCTTACGGTTTTATTATGCTCTTTTTCATATTCCCTGATGGACTTTTTCACAGGACTCCTTGCACTGTAACTGCCATAGTCATCTACCTAAAAAAAAAATGGTCTTTTAATAGTTATTTTAAATGAAATGTTTCAATTTCTATCTTCATTTAAATAAAAATTAATTTTTTCAAATATGTAACTTTGTGCCTCATACATCAACAACAGCTTTTTATTAATAGTCATCCATTTCAAAATTTTTTTTGTGATTGGGTAGGGTTTGAAAAAATTGATTTACAAGATTTCCTTCTATGAAAGAGCCACCAAAATAACTCGGAGTACAATTATTAAAAATAATACAACGCATTTCATGGAAAACACGTGTTTACTTTCATTAAACATTTTAATGTGTTAGTTTATTGTACTCACTGTGACTGTAAACCGCAGGTAACATATAACCGCGCAACTATAAAATAATAAATACTCGTTATCTAACCTGATGTCACCCTAGTTAGTAGATTGTAATTCAGTATTGCACGGGCACGCACACACACTCAGCGGCTTGGTGGCGATCATAAATTGGCCCATCTGGCCATAGTCACGGGTTATTAGTTTGCATTACGTCATTTTGTCAGTTGTACAAGCCCAACTCAATAATCGACCTTCTGTTAATATTTACTCCCTACGTTGAAGAGACATTGATGAACTCAATACCGACTATGGTCATTCAAGTATTCTCCATTACCACTAGAATTTTGGTGTTTTTTTTTTTTTAAGAAATCAGCAAATTGCAAATTAAAGAATTTATCAAGTTTGGCTATCAATATTTTAAATTAGAGTTCAATAACTGTGTTTCATTAGTTCGATCTAAAAAAAAAAAAAGCTATTTTATTATTTTGTTCAAAATACACAAATCTTCATAACGTTAACAAAATGATTTTAGCAATCAATAAATGATATCATACACAATGTGTACATTTATATTTAGAATGAATGTAATTTTAACAGAAAAAACATATATTTGTACCTTTTTGATGAGTTATTTTATATTCCTGGGTAATTTTTTTAATGAAAAAATAATACGTGGAACATCATTGTTTATATTTTTTCAAATATTAAAAATGTTTTCGTCCAAATGTATTATTTGATGATATTTTAGAAAAATGTCAGCAATTAATGTTATTATACTTCGGAATAACTGATTAAGTCGTCTAGAATGTACATCGCCTGTTACAATTGCATAAAATGAAAGTACTTTTAACAAAACTCGGTTAATAAAGCATAGTTTATATTTAACGACGATTATTAAAAGATTTATTGCTCTATAATTGTTAAACTGTGAAAAAGATATAGTAGACACTTTAGATTTGAATAAAATCGTTGAAAATGGAGTAATTATAAACAAAGAAAAATAATTGTTGTATAATATATTATTATTTAGTTTTAATGACAAAACACAATTCCTTGATATGATGTTTATTCTATTATAATAGGAGGGTATTTAAATTTTTTTGTTATTTTGAAACTTAACAAAAATATTTTCAAGATTTTATCTTTATGTTTCTAAAACTAAATATTAGATACATCGTTTCTTGGTTGGCTTATTCTTATCTTTGAATTGTTAAAATCTACTATTTACTTAAATAATGTTATGGAATTTCTGAGGGGTTACATCAAAACTACATTTGTGTTAGTAACGCCCTTGACAAGAGTAGGAGGGTCGTCACCATCACGGTAGCACAGTCGGATAATAGTATTCAGGCGGATGGGCGTCAATAATTTTTTTTTTTTTTTTATGAACGTTTTTCAATTCGTAGGGTGACACGATCACCATATAAATATACAATACAATAATAATACTGTAATCGATAACGTTTTCTGAACTATTTTGCCGTATGCCAGTGAGAACACCCTGCAGTGTATGCAATAAAAAGAACAAGTGCCGTAATTGTAATAATTTTTAATATGTACATAAGGGGTTACAGAAATCGCCACTGGTGGCCGGAAAATTATTGATATTTATAATTAACACGGTTGTCAGTTGTTACAAATCAAGTGCTGGTTTATATATATGACCACGCTCGTTTAAATTCTAAATTGTAATTGTTGACTTTGCATGAGATAATTATTAAATTTATTAAACTAGTAGAATCCACTTATAGTCAAAATAACTAACTGTAAAAAGTAATGTACTTTTGAATAATTCGAGGAAATGTTATTGTGTATTAAGCCATTGATAGGCAGAAAATTGTAAAAAATGTAATAGGAAATCGCTACAAAGTTCTGCCCTAAGGGTTGTTTTATTTTTCTATTTATAACGCAACAAAAAATGTTGATCTGTTAAACAAAAGTATTTTGCATGAAGTACTAATAAAACTAATATTATGGTTAAATAAATCGTTCAATTTGATTATAACATAATAATAATATATTGTCATTTTACACCTAATTCTGATACAGATTATCGATGGAAAAAGATAGCGGCACAAGTTGTTGAAAGTAATAGTTATACTGGAATTTATCGTACCTAACAATCATTTATCTTTCTTTACTTTTTATAAGCGTTGACAGCCGCACGGGTTGTGGTGTCCGAAAACTCAAGCTGAGTTATTGTTAAAAACAAATAAACATGGTATACATGGAAATATCAGTTGGCTTTTAGGAAATATTTTTCAAATGTTCTTAACAACTCGCAGAACTAACCCATTGACAATAACAGTTTAGTCGATGGTCACATTTAAGTATGTGACGTTATTATTCCGATACATTTATTTATTTGACAGTTCTTTTTCGCAAAAAAAACCGACAAAAATGTCATCATTACTAAACAGAATACATTTTATTTGAAATAGTTTAATACTTTTAACGAGTATTTAATGTACAATTTTTTTTTAGCTCCTGATTATTAGGAATTAAAGTCCAATTAATTCTGTTATAAAATTCTGCCCATCCTTTAAGATATTAATAGTTATCTTACAGAAAGAAAACGGAAAAAAAATATTAGAAAATTGATATCTTTTAATGCTTTTGAATTTCAAAAGTCTGTATAATTTGTGTTACATTTTTGAGTAAATTTGAAAACTTAGCTAATAAAAAAGAATTACACCCCCGTTTAAACAAAAATGTCAAAATCTACTGATATTGGTTTTATAAACTATGTTTTATGCAGTTTTCTGTTTTTCGACATTTTTTGCGAGTTAAACGTTAACGCAAAATGTTAACATCACTACAAAATGTCTTTAGTGCGCAATTTTATTAATGGAGTATGTATATATATAACAGAAATGTGTTCGTCCTGTGCAGTCAACATAATAAAAATGAAATGAATTAATAACGATCCGCACCCGAATCCACTTTAGTTTGATGAACATTTTAATGATATTGTGTACTTGTATCACGCTCGGTTCAAACGATCCAGAGAATAGAATATTATATACTACAAGAAATGAGAGTAAATGTGTTTTCATTAATATTGTTTTTGCTTGGAAATAGAGTCGGACTCCTGAAAAAAAAGCAAACCAAAAATTTTATTATAATGACGTACCGACCTCCAGGGAAATCTGCGCGGGGTATATTTTTTGTCAAATTAAATTATTATTATTATTTGCTTTCGATTAAATAATTACCGAACAAACAATTCTTTAATTTCGCTAAACAAACCTNATAATTACCGAACAAACAATTCTTTAATTTCGCTAAACAAACCTCACAAAATATCAACCAGGTAAATAATTTGATGACAATTCCACATCGTTCCGCTTGTCTTATTCATTCAACACACCCTCAGTGAAGTTGTGACGCTTTGGGTATTATGACCACTGAGCAAATATGTTTTTTGGGCTAAGTAATACAAATATTGGGACTTTTTAAATTGGAAGCAAAAAAAATTCTTATTAATACTCAATAATTAAGACTAAATTGAAAATGTTCGATGAGTTTCAATGAGAAAAATTGTAAACGTAATATTTGGAAAAACGATTAATTGGATTTTGAACTTAAAAATAAAAACGTAGCGTAGGCACAAATAAGAGGTGTTTTGGCTACTTAGCACTCCCAAATCATCCTCTTAAAATTTTTAATTGAAAAATAAAATAACCCTTTATATTATAATACAAATAATTAATGTTTTTTTTTAATGTTGCCTTATAATATTGCGATTGTGCGATGTCATGGGTTGGGTCGGTTTCAACAGCTATAGTTGAAATATAACAGTGGCGAGAACAAAAAAATGTATATAATGTTATACATAATTGTTTATTTATAATTAGATAGCAAGAAGATGCGGTAAACTATTTCGATTGGAGTGAGAAAAAATTGTTTTGTCTTAAGCGTTCCCAAAGGCCAAAAGACTGTTTGCGCTTATGAAACGTTTATGTTGATACAAATTATTTTTGAATATAACCGTATATAATACTATTTGTTACGTGGTAATGAGATTAAACAGCTTTAACTGTTTATCCGGTGGGAAATGGGGTTTGACCAATTAGCGACGCGTGTGTAAATCACAAACGAAACGATCTCCACAATATTACTTATTCGCACATGAAACGCGTGTGGTGGATAAAGCTGGCACTTATCAATGGTTCTACAACAGTTCACTTGTTCGGTAATTTACATCCGTCTCATTCCATATCCTCGCAGTTTTCCATCCCGTACACGATGCTCGTGTCTGTCGGTGCATGAAAAAACAACAGGCGACTGCCGCCGGATTGAAAAAAAAAAAAAAAGTATTGCTGGCACGTGTCTGCTGAGGGTCAAAGCCGCCGCCGCCACTCTCAAATCATCGACAATAATTTCAATACCCGTCTGTTAAGGGCACATAATTGGTTATATTATACATTTTGTACATCAACTTCTACAATTTTCTTCTTTGATTTCGTTTACCATTATCGTAGAACCTTCACTACGAGTGACATGTCTAGACATCTGTGCGCTATGTGCTGTTAACCCTATACGCGGAGAGGGTTAGTGTGTGATAAATAGTAATATTTAAGCTCCTCATCAACATATCAGTTTCAAGTTACGTTTGTTATACAATATTTTTAACGAACCTAACGAAACGTTTGCATTCGATTCATTTAATTGCCTAACGATAAATTACCACTAGTGAAACGTGATTCCAACACACCTCTGATACCCTTAGAGATTTCAGACTTCTAAAATGTTAGTCTGTTCGGTTGAAAAAGGTAAAATATTTATCAGGCGATTACTAGAAATTTGTATTAAGTTATATTTTAATTACTATTAAAGCGTATTACATATACAGAGTGATGTTTTTTTTAAATTAATCACATCATTTCTCTTAAAACAATTGTTATTTAAAGAAAATTATTTATAATATTCTAAAATTATACTTTATAATCACCTGGATTTATTAATTATTAAGAATTTTTTAAATTCATTTCTTAAACGTTACAAGGGTGTCAATTATTATTTATAGTCAAAATATAGATATCTAACTAGGTTATAAAATAAAAAAATGTTCTAATTAACAAAATGAACGGGTGATAACAACTTTTGAACAAGTACATAATAAGTTACTAATATTTTTGAATACAAAGCGGAGGAAAAGAGCCGCAGAGTAATATGTAATGATAAAAATAATATAAAATATACCTCATTAATCAACCAATCCAATATCAAAATAATTATTATTTTAATAGATATTGTGTGGCTAATATTAAAAAAATAATTA